AGTAACCCCTGAGTATCGCTGGGTGTGACCCAAAAAGAAAAAAGAAAAGAAGCAAGACCAAGTCCTTTTTTTCTTTTTTGCTTTTTGGGTCACACCCAGCGATGCTCAGGGGTTACTCCTGGCTCATGCACTCAGGAATTGCTCCTGGCGGTGCTCGGGGGACCATATGGGATGCTGGGAATCGAACCTGTGTTGGCCATGTTGGCTGCGTGCAAAGCAAACGCCCTACCCGCTGAGCTATCGCTCCAGCCCAAGACCAAGTCTTACTCAGGAGGACACGAGTCCCGTGCGGGAGCATCTGCAGGCCGTCAGACGGCATCAGAAGCATGAAGCGGGTGCCTGGGGTCCGTCAGGCTCCCAGACAGACACCGCAACCAAGGAAAGACAACGAACACGGTCACAGGGTCAGGTTTTTGTTGTCGTTTTTTGGGGCCGCCCCCGGCGATGCTCAGGGGTTACCCCTGGCTCTGCACTCAGGCACTCAGGCATCGCTCTTGGAGGGCTCTGGGGACAGGATGGGACGCCGGGGATCGAACTCGGGCTAGAAGACGCGAGTGCAAGGCCAATGCACACGACCCTCAGTATCACTGCTCTGCCCCCCCAAACTCTCACAAGTCACTAAGGAAAATTTTTTGTTTTGTGGGAGATCCACCCATACGTGCTTAGGGATCACTCCTGGCAGGCTTGGAGGGGGGGGAATCACGTGGGTGCTGGGGATCGAACCTGCATCGGCCGTGGGCAAGGGAAGCGCCCCACCCTGCTCCCACCCTGCTGTGTTACTGGCCCAGAGAAAATACATCAACTCAAGCTCACGAACTAGGCAAGTGCGAGGTTGTTGCCTGAATAGAGTTCGTGCCTGTGGTAGTGGGACCCGACCCAGGGCCTCCAGGCACACCCCTGGCCTCCAAACTCACGTGCTGAACCAGCCTGTTTCCCTGGCAGGCGGCAGTGCGCCAGCCCGCACTGGCAGTGCCCTCCGGGATCAACGCTTGGAGAAGCTCTGACCGTTCACCAGGGCCAGTCCTGGACTGTACTCCGCCCCGTAAATAATCCTGCCGTGAGGGGAACCCAAACGAAAAAGTGAATGAACTCCAGCCCCTTCCAGCCGCAATGATGCCCGCAATGATGCCCGCTGCTCTGCTCTGGCGGGAAGGGGAAGTTCAAGAACCAGGGCGGCTCGCGCTCTCATGCGAACCAAGCCCAGAGCAGGGAGTGGCACCGCGGGAGAGAAGCCTAGGGGTCAGAGGGACGTACGGCTGGGAGGGCACCTGCCTTGCAGGCAGCAGACCTGGGTTCCACCCCAGACGGTCCCTGAGGCTCCCCGGGAGTGATTCCCGAGTGCAGAGCCAGGAGTAAGCCCTGAGCACTGCCGGGGGTGGCCCAAAAAGAAAGAAGGAAGAAAGGGAGGGAGGGAGGGAGGGAAGGAAAGAAGGAAAAAGGAAGGGAATGAGGGAGGGAGGGAAACAAGGGAGGGAGGGAGGGAGGGAAGGAGGGAGGGAGGGAGGAAGGAAGGAAGGAAGGAAGGAAGGAAGGGGAAAGAAATAGAGAGGAATGGATAGGAGGGCTCACATCTCTTTACTCGGGGGCGGGCTGGGGTCTGTTTTTGAGGCAGTGGGGTGCTGGGTGTCTGGGGGTTCACGGTGCTGCTCCAACGTGTACCTACACTTTGTATTATGCATGGTGCAGGGCAAAATGTTTTAAAGAAATACAACATTAGAAAAACAAAACCCCACACTTGTTTACAGTAAAAACTACCCAGAGGAGGAAGGAAGCTACTTTCTACCAAGGGTACTTGGGAAAGCCCGCGGGCCAAATCGCTTTGTTCTAAGCCACCCTCGGCTGTGATGGGCTCGATGAACCCAGGGCCGCCACCGCCACCACCACCGTCCAAGGGGAGCGCCCACCATCCAGACACGCCCCTCGCTCCTCTCACCGTCCGGAATGCTCTAGAAGCATTCAGACGCCACAGGTGGCCAGAGAGACAGCACAGTGGGGAGGGCACTTGCTGGCACCTCACATGCCCCCCCCCCACCCCGAGCCCAGAGCCAGCCCCAAGGACCACCAGATGTGCTCCCCCCCGTCCTGCCAAAGACACTCTAGAAGTTTCCTACAGCTCAGCGGCAGGAAGGTAGTTACTGTTCAATAGTATTGGTCCCACTTGCTCATCCCCCAAATATGTATAGATACACAATGCCACGGGGCTGGAGCGATAGCACAGTGGGTAGGGCGTTTGCCTTGCACGCAGCCAACCCAAGTTCGATTCCTCCAGCCCTCTCGGAGAGCCCGGCAAGCTACGGAGAGTATTTCGCCCGCATGGCAAAGCCTGGCAAGCTCCCCGTGACGTATTCGATATGCCAGACACAGTAACAACAAGTCTCACGATGGAGATGTTACTGGGCCCGCTCGAGCAAATCGGTAAACAACGGGAGGGCAGTGACAGTGACAACAAGGCTGCGAGGATGTACGAAGAAGAGAGAACTTTCTGTGTGGTTTACAGCGGGTAGAACCAAGCACTCGGCACTTCCGGGGCCTCTGAGGCGATGAGGTGAGGCAAGAGTGAGTGAGGAACCAAGCCGACAGCACAAACGGCCACATGCGGCTGGAGCGATAGCACAGCGGGGAGGGCGTTTGCCTTGCACGCGGCCAACCCGGGTTCGATTCCCAGCATCCCAATAGGGTCCCCCAAGCACCGCCAGGAGTCATTCCTGAGTGCAGAGCCAGGAGTCGCCCCTGTGCATCGCCGGGTGTGACCCAAAGAAAAGGACAGTCACGTGACATACAGGCCCGAGAAACCCCATTCACCAGATCAACGGCCGGAGCTGCAGTGCCTCAGTGGCGCCCCCCGCAGGACCCTGTCATAAAATGACTCTCCCAGGCTGACCCAGGGCTGTTCGTCTGAAACCCTGGGGCCATTCCATCAGGACCTTCTGCATGCATGACATAAAAATCAGAAAATTCCTACAGAACCACAGTTCATGACAGCCAAGGGACAAGCAGGGAAGGAGGACTCTGTGCTCCGGCCGCCTGGGCCATCTCCCGGCCCCACCAAGTATTCTATCTTTTTTTTTTTCTTGTTTTAGGGCCACATCTGGTCGTGCTCAGGGATTACTGCTGGCAGTAACTGGGGGACCATGTGAGGCGCCAGGGATCGAACCCGGGTCGGCCAGGCCACGTGCAAGGCCAAGGCCCGACCCGTCGTACTGGATCACTCCGCCCCTGGCCCTAGGAAGTCTCCTAAGACGCAAACAGTGCACGAGCTCAGACACAGACTAAGAGCAAAGCAAGACTGACCGGCGGGGAACCACGCACACATGTGGGACAACCGGGCCTGCGACCAAACGGGCCTCACGCATCATCACAGACGGGATAGAACCGCCAGCGAGTCGCCTGGGACCTCTCCCACCTCTGGAAAAACCTTTCCTTTGGTCTGTCTGTTTCTGGGCCACGCCCAGTCCAGGCTTCCTCCTGGATCTGCACTCGGGGGGTCACGCCTGGAGGGGCATGAGGGACCACACATGGTGCCAGGGATCGAACCTGGGTTGGCTGCGTGCAACGCAAGGCCCTTACCTGCCGTATTCTCTCTCTGCCCCGCGCCGAAATTTTCAAAACGCTTCCTTGCGACGCACACCCGAACAAGGATTAACAATAGATGAACACTTAAACGCGAAAAGCAAAACACAGACCATGTTTGTAAGAGAAGGCAGAACATTTCTGCAGCCTCGAGTGGGCAGGGAAGGGGTCTCCCGAGACGGAGGCCAGGGCGGCGGCTCGGAGTTGGAACAGAGGCTCCGCGGGCAGGCGGCCGGGGTGCACCCATCACCGGCACTGCCAGGAGACACCCAAGCACCCCTGGGTGCTAACCCCAAGCAAACAAACCAACACTCGGACCGAAAGGAACACATCCAGAGGATTGATCACTTTGAATGGAAACTTCTAGAACAGGGACTCCCCGCCCTTGCTGCAGCCTTGGGGGGAGACGTTTGTCATGCAAACAACGAGATGGGGGGCTGGAAGCTCAGAGCCAACTTGGGAGACTAAAAGTTGGATGTCAGACAGCCATCAAATTCTGAAATCCTGAAAGGAGGCGCAGAAGTGAGACAGCGGGTCTCCATCCCGGCTGCTGGGGGCATGGCGGTTGCGGGGGGGGGGGGGCAATGTCCTACAAAGAAGGACTCCCCCACCCCACAGGGCCCCCAGAAAAACAACAGGGGGTGGGGAGGGAGCACCCAGGGCCCACCCACAGCTTAGCACCACGCCGGGCAGCAGAGCTGGCGGATTCCCCACCCTCAGCATCTGCTCACAACAGCGCAGGCCTCACCCGGCGGCGTCCACAGAGGAGGTGGAAGCGGGACCTCCGTGGAAGCTTCCAGAACAGAGGCGTGGGCATGGGGCAGGCCCTGGGCGCAGCTGCGTCAGGACCCTCGGGTGCCACCCCATGACGACAACGATGGGGACAGACACTTCCTCAAAGCGCAGAGCACGGCCAGGGAGCGGCCTTGATGTCCTCTCTGGACGGCTAGAGGCACATTTCCCAGAGGGGGGGGTCCACGCACAGCGCACGTGACCCCGGGACCAGTCCTGCCGACCTCAGGAAGGCCCAGGAGGGGGCCCCGATGCCGGACAGGCTGGCGGGGATCCCCAGGTGGGATCTAGGTGGGTCTAGGTGGATGGGCTGGGAGGATGCCTAGCCGAGGTCAGATGGGGACACGGCCAGAACCTCCCCCTCCCTCTCCTTCTGCGATTGTCCAAGGGGCCATGGCTCAGGGTGGATCCTCCAAACTGCTCTGTGCACCGACGAATGCTGGGACTGACCCGCCGGCGTGCACCCAACGGGCCTGTGGATCTCCACCACGGTGCTGGCGTGACACGCGGTCCCCTCCCCCTCTGCCCCTGGTTCCTGGCCGTTGACAACTGTCCCAAGGCACACGGCAAAGGCCGGCACGTCAGGTGTTTCCCGCCGCTGCCCCCAGGACCGTCTGGTCCTTCTCCCTGCACCTCACCTGGACTCGGGTCCACGGGCACGTCTGGGACCTTGGGGGCCCCGCGGCGCCAGCTACACGGCTCCTTGCCTTGCTCGATCTGGGAGAGCACCTCGGGCTTGGAGATGGCGTAGTCTGGGGAGAGACACCACGGTCAACCCGGCTGGGCCTGGACGCCTCCGGGACTGGCCGGAACAGGGGGTCCCGTCTACCGGGGGGCAGCTCTGGCCCTGACGGGCCGTCTTGGGTCTGAGGTGCTGCTGGCCCGGGGCTAGGGGCTGGCCAGGGATGTGGATGACCACTGTCCACTCGTGGGATGCCCCCCCCGGTCGACTCACCTCCCCCAGACAGGAATGGGACTGGGTCAGGAAAGGCATTTCTAGGCTGGAGCGACAGCACAGCGGGGAGGGCATTTGCCTTGCACACGGCCGGCCCGGGTTCGATCCCCGGCATCCCATCTGGTGCACTGAGCACTGCCAGGAGTAATTCCTGAGTGCAGAGCCAGGAGGAACCCCTGTGTATCGCCCAGTGTGACCAAAGGAAAAAAAAAAAAGAAAAAGCAAGGGAGAAAGGGCATTTCAACCCACGACCCTGCAGGTTCCCTGGGCAGTAGCGCAAGAGGAAAAGCAGAGTCCAGGCCCTTCGTGGGGCAGCAATGGCCACCCCGAGGCACAGCTGGGCAGAAGGAGGTGCAAAGGGAAGCCCCTTCCCAGCACGGAGGAGGCCCACGGCTGAGACCAGCAGCTCCTCCTCACCCAAGTCTGAGTGACGGACACAGCACGCCTGCCCGGGGCTGCCCCTCGGGGCTGGCACCTGCCAAGCTCCCTGGCAGGAGGGAGCTGGTGCCTCCAGTCCGAAGCTCAAGCCTCGGCAAGAGCCAGAGGCCACTCTTGGCGGGGTCCAAGTTTCAGAGGGCTGAAGGCCCGGGAGACCCCGACTTCGATCCCTGAGTCCGGCTGGAAGCGACCCCTCAGACACAGTTAGGGGGCTGGAGAGAGTCCAGGGGGGAGGGTGCTGGCCCTCTGGACTCGGCCGACCCGGGTTCCATCCCTGTCATCATTCCATATGCTCCCCTGAGCCGGGCCGGGTGTGATTCCTGAGTGCAGAGCCAGGAGTCACCCCTTGAACATCGCCAGGTGTGGCCCCGAAAAAAAAAAAAAACAAAAACCAACCTTGGGGCTGGAGAGATAGCACAGTGGGTAGGGCATTTGCCTTGCACACGGCCAAGCCGGGTTCGATTCCCAGCATCCCATATGGTCCCCTGAGCACCGCCAGGAGTAACCCCTGTGCATCGCCAGGTGTGACCCAAAAAGCAAAATAAAATTAAATTAAATTAAAAAAAAAAGAAAACCCAACCCAAACCCAAGAGCCAGGAACAGGTCCCGAGCACCGCTGGGTGAGCAATTCAAAGAAAACACAACAAAAAGCGGCCGGTGGGCATGCGTGCGTAGGTGGCGTTGGAGAAGTCGGTCGCTGACAGGGAGGGCCGCAGACTCCCCGGGCGGCGCGGAGGAGGGCGCCCACACCTTACCCAGCGACACCAGCGTCTCGTAGTTGCCTCGCATCACGTGCTTGTACAGCTCCTTCTGCCAAGCGTCCAGCTTGCCCCACTCCTGCTCGGAGAAATACACGGCCACGTCATCAAAGGTCACGGGCACCTGCAACCACAGGGTCACGCGCTCACCCACTCACCGCGAGGCAGGGCCCTCGGCGCCTCCCCCTGGCGGCCCTCCTGGCTTACCTTGGGGGTCTCGCCCTTGCTGCCGGGCGGCAGCCGCAGGATCCAGAAGTTTCTGTTCCTCAGCAGGTTCTCCATGTTCTCCAGGCGCCGCTGCAGCAGCCCGTACTCCTGCAGCAACGTGCCCAGCACGGCCCACTTGCCCTCCAGCTGCTGGCCGAACTCGGCCGCCGTCTTCTCGCAGTCGGCCAGCTTCTTCTCGGCCATCCCGGTGCGGCCCTCCAGGGACAGCAAGCGGGCCGCCTGTGACTCGATCTTGCGCTCCATGGCCTGGATGGTGGCCGCCATGGTCCAGGGAGAAATCTGCCAGGGCAGAGAGAGAGAGAAAGAGAGAGAGAGGAAACGACATCATCCTCCGTCCTGCGAGTCCTGAGCAGTCCCGCCTCCTGCTCCCAGGTCCGGGAGCCCCCGCTGGGGACCGGGACCGCCTGGGAAGGAAGAGGGGGTGGTCTGGCGGGGCCCTTCCCTCCAGCTCCCCGCAGTGCCCAGAGACGGCCAGTGCCCCCGGCCACCCGCAGGGCCCTCGCGTGGATGCTCGGCGCAACCTGGAGGATGATGGTGACAAAGCTTTGCCGGGTACTCTGGGGAAGACACGGCGCGCGAGCCCCGCCAGGCCAGCGCTGGCACCGGCTGCGATGATGACCCAGCAAACCACCGCTGCCCACAGCAGCCTCGCACGGATGCTTTTAGACCCTGGCTGGCAGGGATGCACCTAGCTAGGGCCTCGAGCACGGGACGCATGAGCTCCGCCGGGCGCATACTCAGCCCCACCAAGGTGCTTTTCTTGATCTCTAAAGCATCTTACCTGCACCCCCCCTTTAGAAAATAAACCAATGCCCCAGTGGCGTGCACGGGGCCTCACCAACGGGCAGATGCCTCCCTGCACCTCCGTTCATAACTACCCCAGGCCAGCAAGTGCCCAGCAGCCCGGAGTGGGACCTGTGGTGTGGCACAAGGGCCCAGGCTCTCCCCGCAAAGTTCGGGGTGACCTCCCAAGGACCCCAGTCCAAAGGCAGAGTCAGAGATCACACAGGGATCCCCACGGTTGAACCAGGGGCTGCCGACACTGGCCTTCCAGGGCACTCGGACCCCGGGGTTCATTTTACAATTCCCGACCCTGGACGTGGGGCTGAAAGGAGTGACAAAGGACAGTCTGAAGAAAGCAAAAGACGGAGGCCTGGGGAGATTCCGGTGGCGCCCGGAGTGAGCTGGGTGGCCCAAGGAAGGTCTGCAGGGTCGCTGAGCTGACGGGTCCAGGGGGAAGCCGGTGCCCGGCCTGAACCATGACCGGAGGAAGGACTCCCTCGGGGTCTTCAAGATCAGGGAGGGTCTGCTGGGCTCTGATCCGGACAGGGCCTCTAGGACAGGGCTGGCTGTCCCAAACCCTCCCACCTGGGCCAGGGCGACAACCCCATCTCCAGGAACTGGCACCAGCACCATCGCTCCACTTCACCACCCAGGCTCCGCGCCCCAGGACACCTCCTTGGCCGCTGAGCGCGGTCACTAAACCGGGCACCGATAAAAGCGGTCGCGGGCAGCACCGCCTGCCTGGGGTGTGGCCCTCACCTGCGGGCTCGGGCCGGGCCCCTCCATCCACAGGGCGGTCCTGGGCCGTGCCAGGGCCCTGGGGGGGGGGTGTCTCAGGGCCCTTGCAGATGCCCCGAAGGCCACCTTGCGTCCCCCGGGGGGCACGCCCCACCACGCTTCTTCCCGGCCCGGGTGGGGGGGTGGGGGGGGTGAGAGACCCTGCAAAGTGTCACCTCGGAGGTGGAGGTGGTGGTGGTGGGGGAGCTCGGGCTGCAGAAAGGGCCCCCTCCCCTGCCGTGGCGGGGCCCAGGCCTGCACGGGCCGCTGGGCGCCACCCCGGGGTGGGGGGACTCACCTGCGCGCGTCCCCGCGCGCCCCCCTACCCCGGCTGCCCCCGGGGACCCTCCCCGGCGCCCCTGCACGCTCCGGGGCAAGTTAACTTCTCTAGGCCCGGCCGCGGCTGCCCGTCGCTGACAGCGCCCGGGATGACGCCCGCGCAGGCCCGCCGCCGACCCCCCGCGCGCCCGGCCGGGCCCCCCACCCCCACCCCCACCCCCGGGGGCGCAGGCCCGGGCGCGGGCGGAGCCAGCGGGGCCCGCGGCGGGCGCGGGGATGCGGGGCCGCGCGGCGGGGCGGGGGCAGGAAGCGCCGGGCGCCGGGCACCGGGCCGGGCAGCGGGCAGCGGGCAGCGGGCAGCGGGCCGGGCCGTCCCGCGGGCCCGCTCGGCGCTTCCTCCCGGGGGGCCCCCGCGGCCGGCGGCGCAGGCCCGGCGGCCCCCGCGGCCCGCGCCCGCCCCCCGCGCCCCTGCCCGGGCCTGCGGCGCGCGCGTCCGTCCTTACCGGAGCCGCGGCCGCCTCGGCCATGGCCCTGCGCGGTCCGGCCCGCCCGGCGCCGAGGAAGTGGCCGTCCACGCCGCCGTCCGCGCCGCGCGGCCGCCCCCGCCCCCACGCAGGCGGCGCCTCCCGCCCGGCCCGGCCCGGCCTCGCCCCGCCGCTCCGCCCGCAGCAGACGCGCCGCCGCCGTCAGCGCCCGGCCGGTCCACACTGCATCCTGGGAGCCGGCGCAGGCCCGTAGGCTTCCTGGAGGCAGCGCGGCCGCACAGCCCCACCTGCAGCCCGGACCGGCGAACGGCAGGCGCGCGGCGCCCCGCCCCGGCCCGCCCCGGCCCGCCCCGGCCCGCCCCGGCCCGGTCCGGCCCGCCCCGCCCCGCGCGCGCGCCCGCCCGCCGCCCGCCGCCCGCCGCCCACCTGCGCGCCCCGCCGCCCGCTCCCCGCCCCGGTCGACGGCCACCTCCGCGCCCCACCTGTCCCGCACCCCCCTCCTCCCCCACCCATCCTCCGGGCCCCCGCCCCGACCCCCAGCGGGAGCCTCGCCCGACCCGCCTCGCCTCGCCTCGCGGGCGCCTCCGGCTCCGGCTCCCCCCCACCCCCACCCCCCACCAACCCCGACGGCCGGATTCGGTTATTTAAAAAAAAAATCGAAAACGACCCTTCCCGCCCCGGGCGGACGGACGGACGGAGGGTCGCCCTGGGGTGCTCCGGCCCCTCCGAGCGTTGGGACCGCGGCCACGCACGCACGCGCCCTGCCTTTGAACCGGAGCGAAGTCTTCCAGCAAGAGGGAGGGTCCCCGGGACCTCCTGGGGGTGCAGGGGTCATTCCCCCTCCTTCGTGTTGCGCTCTCTGTTGTTGTTTTTTTTTTTAATTTTGTTTTTGGCTTTTGGGGTCACACCTGGCGATGCACAGGGGTTCCTCCTGGCTCTGCACTCAGGAATCACCCCTGGCGGTGCTGGGGGACCAGATGGGATGCTGGGAATCGAACCCAGGTCAGCCGCGTGCCAGGCAAACGCCCTACCTGCTGTGCTCTCTCGCCAGCCCTCTCTCTGTTTTTCAGGAAGGAGCAGTGGGACCCGGTGCCTGCGTTTACGATGATTTTGCTCAGGACTTTGAGTTAGGAAGACGTTGATGGTATTTTTTAAGAAAAACCAGTCCAGAATGGTGATGGTTTTGTTGAAAACACGCACACACACCACTGCATCTATGGGCCTGGCTCTAAGTTACTAGATTTTCCCCTCGCCATAACGGTGCCATTTGGGCACCCGTTCTGGCGTTTTTTAATACACAGGCCGTTGGAATATTTCAGACTCTTCCTCCCTTCCAACTCGTGTTTTCATTCTGTGGTGTCAGGGACTGCGTTTAGGCCAAGGAGAGGAAAGTGACCCTTGGACGGGCTCCCGGTGGACAACCCTGACTCTGGTCGCCCAGGTCAGCAGGTCTGGCAGGAGGCCAACCTTGAATTTGCAGGGATGGAACCTGTCTGGTGCACGCAGGACACGCGTGTGCATTACGGGGCCACATGCCCCACGGCTGCCAGCCACGGACCCCCCCCCCAAAAGGGTCCCCCACCGGCTCACTGTCAAGCAGGTCCCGAGTCGGCCCTGGCCCCTTGACCGTGTCCTCGCTGAGCACTGGCCGGCCGAGCCCATGATTGGTGTGACCAGGAAGGGAGACGACAACAACAACAACAACAACAACAACTTGATAATGATGATTTTAAAAAAGCAGGGAGCCCGGAATCATGTGTCTGCCTGCTCTGCTCAGCCAGGCCCGGGCCCGGGGCATGATGGGAGGAAGGTCGCAGACACAGGCCCTTCTCATGGCAGCTTGCTGAGCGGGTCTGCAGCTCCCAGGTCCGTCTGCATCCATCTGGCCACCCAGGTCGGTTTGTATCCATCGCCTGGCCAGGTCCATTTGTATCCATTCAGCTCCCAGGTCTGTCTGCATCCATCCATCCATCCATCCATCCATCCATCCATCCATCCACCCACCCAGGTCCATCTCATCCATCCAACTCCCGGCTAGCTTGTTGGTCAGTCCCTTTTTTTCCTGCCTAGAAGGGCTGCTCCTGGATGAGCTCGCAGAAGGGGCATCTGTCTAGGTAGTAAGTACCCCACGCTCTGGGGTAGCATGGCCCCGGTCCTGGTGGTGCATTGCAGACTCCACTGTTGGGATATGGGATCTCTCTGACCGTTGGACCTGGGCACCCCCTGCCAATGAGTTTTTCCCAGGAAAGGGGACCTACTTGGGTTGATCTTCCAGAGTTTTGAAAGCCACGCCCATCAGGAGACGGCAGGAGGGTGGAACAGCCTGGTAGGTTACCTCTGCTCCGAGCAAACCCCTCCAGCATTTCAAAGGCAGCTGTGCTGTGGCCTCTTCCCTAACTCCTGCCCTCGGTGCCCAGCACCCCACTGTGCCATGTTCCTGGGTGCTGCTGTACCTGTCAGCCTCTTTCTCGCTGCTCACACGGGGCAGGTTGTGTAAAGGAGGTAAGATCTGAACTGGGTCCTAAAGGTTGAGCCAAGCTCTCTTTTTCTTTCTCATGCCTCAGTTGAAAAGTATTTAGTTTTATTGAACCAACTTTGGCTTACAACCTGACATCATACAGGGCTACCATTCTCTACTTTTTATTTATTTATTTATTTTTTGCTTTTTGGGTCCCACCCGGCGATGCACAGGGGTTCCTCCTGGCTCTCCACTCAGGAATCACTCCTGTTGGTGCTCAGGGGACCATATGGGATGCTGGGAATCGAACCCGGGAATCGGCTGCGTGCAAGGCAAACGCCCTACCCGCTGTACTACCTCTCCAGCCCTACAGTTCTCTATTTTGATTCCTGAATAAAACAGAGAGGGGGAAAAAACAGAAAAAAATACAGATACATGGTATATCTCTACTCTAAAGGACCCCCCTGAAAGCCTGCAGTTCAGGGTCCACCATCCAAGGAACCTATTTTGTTTCCCCCCTTTGAGACCCCCATTCCCTAACCCCCTCTGGTGATCGCTACTCTCTCTATTGTTAGAACTAGAGGTTTAGCTTTTTGTCTTCTTTGTGTGGTCAGGTACTTTGTTTCTTTCTGTTTGGGTTTGGTGTTTAGGCCACACCTGGCAGTGCTCAGGTTCCGGCCTGGCGCTAGGCGATCACTCCCGGTTGGTGCTGAGGAGAGGCGGGGGTGCCCATATGGGATGCCGGGCATGGACCGTCAGCACGCAAGGGAAACGCCAGGGAAACGCCACAGCCGCCCGGTGCCGCGTTGTCGCTCCGGCCCTGGCTTTGTTTCTTGATCCTCCGCATACCAGAGAAATCATCAGGCGTTTGTCTTTCTCAGGCTAACTTGTTCGTATCAGTTTGCGGCCTCACCCAATAGTCCGCAGGGGCTACTCCCAGCTGGTTCGCAGGGCTGGCTCCCTCCGGAGTCGACTCTAGCCGGGAAAGCATGTGTTCCAGCCTATTGAATGGTTTCTGGGCCCTCAGACCGACTTATTTCACTGAGCCCAACCCCCGCTCAGTCCATCCACATTGTTGCAAGAGGCCGGGTTTCCTCTCTTGGAGCCCAGGAGTATTCCAGATGCAGGAAAAAAGCCACCTTCCCCATCCACTCAGCCATCAGTGGGCCCTTGGGTTGTTTCTGTATCTTTTTTTTTTTTTGCCTTGTTTTTTTTTTTTTGGGGGGGGGGAGGTGGGAGGAGGGAGACACACCTGGCGATGCTCAGGGTTTATTCCTGCCTCTGCACTCAGAAATTACTCCAGGCAGGCTCGGGGAACTAAGTGTTGGCTGGAGCAATAGCACAGCGGGGAGGGCGTTTGCTTTGCACGCGGCCGACCCAGGTTCGATTCCCAGCATCCCTTAGGGTCCCCTGAGCACCGCCAGGAGTAACTCCTGAGTGCAGAGCCAGGAGAAATTCCCCCGTGCAACACTGGGTATGACCCAGAAAGCAAATAAATAAATAAATAAATAAATAAAAATGTGGTGCTGGGGTGAGACCCTGGGTGTGCCCCCGTGCAAGGCAGGCGCCCTCCCTGCTGGACCCCCCTTACCCCGGTTCTGTGTCTTGTCCGCTGTAAATCGTGCTGCAAAGAACAGGCCCCTGCGCAGGGCTCTCCGAGTGCGTGTTTTTGTATTCTTTGGCTACGTGCCCGGAAATGGAACGGCTGGCTTCTCGAGAATTGCAGTTCCACTAGGCAGAGAGGACTTTCGGCCAAAGGTGTGAGCAGAGGAAGCGTCTGGAAAAAAACTGGAGCTGGGAAGGGACCGTGCGTGTTTGGAAGGAATGCGGATGAGCTTGGCGAGGCTGCAGGTGACGATGCAGAGAGAGGACCTCACGGAAACCGTCTTCGCAGACTCACTCCCCGCAGTGTGGGGTGGGGTGTGGGCAGGACACTGAGCACCAGGGGGAAGGGGGGTGAGCGGATGTGTCAGGAGGGCCAGGAAGGCAGAGAACGGGGTGGCCCCTCGGAGCGCTGCTGGGGACCCCAGGGCCGGGCGGAGGCCGTGCAGCAGGACGGAAGGTTGCAGGCGCCTGCGACAGATCTGAAAACCAGGGAAGGGCTGGTCCTCGCCAAGCCTCGGCTTGTGCCAGGGGCACTTCTAGGAAGAAGTGGCACATCCTGGCGGATTCTGCGTTGACTCCGTTGCGTTCTCGAGGGAGGCTGGCGTGGAGCTGGATTTCTGGATTTCATCCCAGAGCCTCCGAATCGAAGTCTCTAGGAACGGGTTCCGAGTATTCTGGCAACAGCTTCTCCTTTGATGTCTCTTCTCTAGTGCTTTATAAAAATTAAAAAAAAATTTTTAAGGTCTCTTTTTTTTTGTGGAGAGAAGAGATGGCACAGTTGGCAGTGCTCAGGGCTTACTCCTGGCTCTGTGCTCCAGGGTCACCGTGGTGGGGCTTAGAGGGCCATTTGAGGTGCCGGGGGTCGACCGTGGGTCAGCTACCTGCTGAACTATCGCTCTAGTTCTTAATGTCTTTTTTTTGGGGGGGGAGGTCACACCTGGCGATGCACAGGGGTTACTTCTGGCTCTGCACTCAGGAATTACTCCTGGTGGTTCTCAGGGAACCATATGGGATGCCAGGGATTGAACCTGGGT